AAGTGTTGAAGAGCAAAGATGTCAGCTTGAGGACTAAGGTGCGCCTGACCCAAGCCATGGTAGTTTCTGTAACCTCATATGCATGTGAAAGTTTTACAGTGAATCAAGAAGACCATAGAAGAATTAATGCTTTTCAGTTATGGTGTTGGAGGAAAACATTGAAAGTGCCATGGGCTGCCAAAAGAACAAACAGATCTGTGTTGAAAGAAATATCGCCAGAGTGCTCCTTGGAGGACAGGATGACCAGACTTCATCTCATACTTTGGACATTTTGTCAGGAGGGACCAGTCTCTGGAGAAGGATATCACGTTTGTTAAGGTGGAGGGTCAAAGAAAAAAGAAGAAGACTCCGACTTGCTGGATTGACATAGTGACATCAGCAATGGGCTGAAACGTAGAAACGATTGTGAACTTGGTGCAGGGCTGGGCAGTGTTTCGTTCTGTTGTGCACAGGCTCACTATGAGTCAGTAGCAACTTGATGGCACCTAAAAACAAAACAACAACCACATTGTGTGTGGGGTACCATGAGCTGGGGCACACTAACTATTGTCATTCAAACTATAGGAGACTTCACATCTCCTCTCTGCAACTGTACCTACATCCAGTTAGTTGGTCTCTCAGTCTTCTCCATGTGCCTCTGGTAAATCATTCATATTTATCACCCCCATCTTTGTTTCTACCCTTCTGTCACTGTCCTTGTTATCTCTTAACCTCATTCAGGTATTGTAGTGACCAATTAACCATGCTGTCTCAAAACTCTTTCATATTTCACAAAATCAATAGTAACCAACACTAATGCAGCACTTGCTAACATTTGTGTAATGCCTACTGTTTTAAGTGGATAGCATCCATAAATCTAATTCTCAAAACAGTCCTACAAGTTAAGTACTATTCTTATGTCCTCTTTGTAGATGAGGAAAGTTGTAGACACATAATAAATAGTTACCATAAATAGTCTCTAGTGAGTGGACTTCAGAATCCATACTGCCTACTGCTCTGCTGTGCTACAGAAAGACCTGTTGTGCTCTCTATACCTGGGTTCCCCACTTCAGTATTTCAAAGGTGTCCGAAGAGCTATCACAAGTACATTATCAGGATCATGGCTGAGATGGAAAGGGGGCCTATGAACACTTATATGTGGACAAAGCTGATGGTCAGTTCATCAGATGTTCTATTCGAGAGATTTGCAAGATGCAGAGAATTGACTTAGTGAAAAGAGAAAAATTTATTGTGAAAAACAAGATGGCATGGATTTATTGGCTGCGGAATCCAAGAGTAATGGTGATAGACACTGTTATTCATAAAGCGTTCTATATTTCCTGATTGTGACTCATTGGTCTATCTTAAGTCACATGCCCTTCTCTGTATTTATCACTTTGGCTAGAAAGATAGTTTGCTCATTCTCAGGCCTGGGATGTGTGTCTGTCTCTGTGGATGGAGGCTCAGTCATCCCTATTTGAAGCACATGGATAATATTGGGAAGACAGATTCCCAGAGTTCAAATTCAGGTTCCTATATGTGTGATGTTGGTAAGTTATTTAACCTGCCTGTGCCATTGTTGCCTTACTTTATGGAGATACAATGAGGATTAAATGAGATAATGCATGTACAATTCCTAACCACATGAAGCTGTCAATATTCTGATTTCTACCTTCCAGAATCAGCCATAACTTTAGAGGAATTCCCTCAATTTAAAACAGTGTATCTATTTTTGCCCATCTTTACTCTGACTTGATCAGCCTCATCAAACTGGGGAAGAATTTAATGTTTGCAGGCTATATGTTGTCATTGTTAAATGCTATCAAGTTAGTTCTGACCCATAGCCACCTTGAAGAGGGTTCCTGAGGAGTGGGTTTGAACCACTGGCATTGAGATTAGCAGTTCAGAGCTTATCCTATAGAACTACACCAGGACTTCTTAGGCTATCTGGAATAGTGTGAACAGAGAAGCTAGACGTTCAACTTTCAGAGGAGAAGATATTTTTATAATCCCTTAATACCCAATTCATTCAGAGCATGAAACAACGTGGACTTTTCCTAAAGGAGTCTAGTTTGACTTAAAGTTCAAGAGCCAGGATGTAGGAATCTGTAGTTGATATCAAAGAGGTTTGTCTCTAAATCCATGACTAGGTTAAATTCCAAGTTCTTTGGAGAAGAGAAAATAAAAAGTTCAATCAAAATTTTTATATCTAGTGTTTTACAAAGCCCATTTGTACATACTGAAGATTGTAATTGGTCCATTCTCTCTGGAGAGCTAAGGTCATGATCTCCTCTTTTTGGACCCAATTATTAATCCTTGGCACACATTGTTCTGTTGAGTTGGCCAGTTGTATAATACATGGCAATAGTTAGACTCCCATTCATTAAAGGTAATTGATTTCATTGACTTTGTCTTCTAGAAGTTGAACTTTCTTTGAACTTGGCCTCCAAACAAATTCCATTTTATGCTTGAGCCATTTTCTGTCTTTGGTATCATGAAATGTATTCTCCCGGGTCGATAGTCTCTCTCCTATACACGAGGTGGGTCTGGAAGGCTACAGCTAGAGATTGTCCATCCAAGAAGCAATCATCTATTACCCGTCTCTCATCACTTTCATGATTTTTTTCTCTCTTTGACTTCATCTTCAGATTTTCCCTTTTAGTTTTCCAAGAAATCCCATGAGTGAGTCCTTTTAGGCTCTCATTGATCTTATCCTTTTCTAAGCTGTGTTATTTGTATGGCTGTAGGGGAAATTGTACATTTTACCTTTGGGCCATAGGTTTTCTGAGTGATCTTTATTCCTCCAGAATCATGAAATGTCATTTTAACTTGTCCCTAAATTGTTCTTTCCTTACCCTTTTGACTTTGACACACTTTCTTATACCATTTGATCGCGATTCCTGCTTAGATTTTGTGGACAAATAAGAAAGAAGAAATGGTAAAAGAAAACACAGGAAAATGTATACTGAAAATAATGAATCTTTGCTGTTGATTGTTCAGAGAACAACAAGACACTCCCTAAAGTTATAGATGTAGAAAATTTCAGGGCAGTCTCCTTAAGAACAGAAGAATGTGCATGGATAATGTATATATGTATGTTAAGAGAACTTGCTTAGAGGCTTATAATGCATTGTTCTTAAAGTGACGCTAACACATTTTGAAGGAAATTTCATCCTACTTTTGTATTTTGAAGGAAACAACTAAAAAGAGCATGATTAAGAAGAAAAGACTAGCTCAGGGACATGATGCATGTGTTGTCATTTTGTCCATGGTGGGGATCACTAATAAATCCCAGCACTCTTTTCTTTGGATTTGAATGCAACCTCAGAATCCTTCCATGCACATTTATCCTAGAAGACATTCAACCACAGTTGACTCTTGTTTTGAAAATTATTTTCAATCACATGACTAGTGTCTCTAGTTGACCCTTCTCTTTATTTGGCAAAAAATATTTTAGTACATTTAAGTTGTATAAGAATGTTTGCTGTTGTTAAGTTCTGTCTAGTCAGTTCTGACTCATAGCGACCCTGTGTAGGGTTTCAGAGACTTACAAATCTTGGTGGGAACAGAAAGCCTCATCTTTTCTCCTGAGGAACAGGTGGTGGACTTGATCCGCAGCTGCCCAGAGCTTATTTGTTGAGTACCTACAGTATGGATGTATCAAACAGTATGTATCAGACACTATTTTGGTCATGTGGATAAAAGAGGCAAGTCCCATTATGATGCAGTGAATTATTTTCTATGACTCTTCTACCCACAGTCTAGGAGTCCTGGTGTAATGCTGGATTAATGCACTGGCCTGGTTGGCAGTTCAAGCTCATCAACTGCTCCTCAGAAACCCTATGCAGGGTTGCTATGAGTCAGAACCCACGTAACAGCACTTTACATCAGCAACAATCCATAGTCTTTGTAACTCCCTACCAGATATCTTATTTCTTTGTAGCTCTGGGTAAACGAAGGTGGGGGGAAATGCTGAAAGAATTTTATGATTCCATTGTGAGTGATTGTTTACAGGGCTAATTTTGATTGTAAAAACTTGGAAATCTAATGGGGGGCAGTGATTAGACCACCTGCCATCCTGCTAGGTTTACCTTGAGACATCACAGAGGCAACAGAGGGGAACTTACTACCAGTAAGAAAAAAGAACCTGAATGACCTTTGGACCCTGAGATTCCTGAAAGCTGAAGAGCACACAGAAAGCTGTGGCACCAGAGAAGCAGCGAGGAGTGGTGAAGGAATGGCAGCTACAGAACCAATAGTCAGAGTGCCATCCAGAATAGTGGACTTCACAGCTCATGGAACATGTAAAGTTGCATGCCTTTGGGCAAGAAGCTTGCTTATGGAGTCAGGTGCCTCAGGCACTTAACCTGGAAGCTAGGTTTGCTGACTTGTGGAGCTAGAGTCAAGCACCTTCTGGCTGAGGCTTATAACAAAGTGGAGTGCCCTTTGGGCTTTTACCAGCAGCCCTAAAATAGCATTGTAACATTACCTGAGTAGGGTAGAGGCTACAGGGCCATGTGGCTGAGAGACCAAGGACCAAAAAGAGGTATGTTGTTGAGTCAGTACCAACTCATAACAATCCTTTGGAAAACAGAATGAAACACTGTCCGATTCTGGGCAACCTCACAATTATTGCTGCATTTGAGCCCATTGATGCTGTCACTGTGCTAATCCATCTCATTGGGAGGTCTTCCTCTTTATCTCTGACCCTCCACTTTACCAAACATGATATCCTTCTCCAGTGATTGGCCCTTCCTGACAATATGTCTGAAATATGAAAGACGAAATCTGACCATCCTGGCTTCCAAGGAGCACTCTGGCTGTGTTTCCTCCAACACAAATCTGTTTGTTCTTTTGGCAGTCCATGATCCTTTCAGTATTCTCCTCCAACACTATAACTCAAATGCATCAATTCTTCTATGGTCTTCCTTATTCACTGTCCAACTTTCACATGCATATGAGGTTATTGAAAATGCCGTGTCTTAAAACACTTTTAAGAGGTCTTGTGCAGCAGATTTGCCCAATGCAATATGTCAGTTGATTTCCTGACTGCTAAAGAGAGGTGTGCCTGTGGCATAGCTAAGAAAAGCTTTCCTAACCAGAAGTAATGTTCCCTGAACATTTTCTGAGTCTGAATTGTAACCTTTTAACATCCCTGATAAACCCATAGCTGAGTATGGTCTATGAGTTCTGTGTGGTCACTGTAATGAATGATAAAATCCAGCTGAGAAGTAGAGTGCTATGGGAGGAACAGTTGGTGTCAGAATTCATAAGGAAGGTTGAAGGGTAGCAGCATGTCTTACCTCAGCTTCATAGAAATTGGCCTTGGTGATTCTTCTCCTTGTGAAGTCAGACGAGGTCAGATGCCATCTCCACACCCCTTTCTGCCCTAACTCTGTGAAACTGACATTGTAGTAAGAAAACCAGAAAATCAGTAAACAGATAAGATTATTTCTGACAGTAGTGAGAGACTTCAAAGAGTATCACGATAGTGTGAATAGTATCAAGTGATTGAGTGACTACACCTTTTGGACTGGCCTAGGACTGTCTTTATGTGGGAGTTATATTTGAACTAGGACTGAGGAACTGGTTATGTGGAAGATTCAGGGGAGAGAAATCCTTGGTAAAGTACTAAGAAAAGAATGGATTTTGCATTTATGAGGAATAAAGAAAGGCCTTTGTGACTGAAGTAAGGGTCCAACCTTCTGAATGGCAGGAGTGCTTTGCAATGGACAGCCCATGCAGGACCTTAAAGGTCACAGGAAGAAACTGAAATGGAAGCCATTTGCATTAGAAATGCAATGGAAAGTCACTGAAGGGATTAGAGGGGGTCATTTTGTTTATTTAGGGAGATACATTGCCTGATTTACATTTCTTAAAAATTAATTTGGAAAAAGAAAACAAAACACTAATTTGGCTGCCATCAGAAGATTGGATTGGGAGTAGTAGTAGGGAGATCCAAGAGGCCAGTTAGATGGCTATTCAACCCTTTCTAGAGAGAACTAGTGGTGGCTTTCAATGAGAAGAAAAATGGAGATGGAAAGAAATAGATAGAATTGGGGAAGGTTTAGAAAGAGTACTTTTTGATCAATAGGATAAAGATTTTTAGTAATACCAGTACTATTTTACTTAAATTTAAAGTTGATCTAATGAGGAAAGCTGGAAAAGAGTTCATTCGGCAATGTCTTTAACCACATTTACCTGTAAGCCCATCTAATGCTATTACCACCCCTCATTCCTCTTACCCCACCAAAAGCTAAAGCCACTGGCATCAAATCAATTCCAACTCCTGATGATCCTGGAGGGCAAAGTAGAGCTGCTATCTGTCATTTTAGGAGAAGAAGGCCTCATCTTCCCAAGGAACGTCTTGCAAATGCAAACTGCTGATCTTGCAGTTAACAGCCACTATCGATCAATTCCTAGGTCTGAGTAAAAAGACAAAAATGTGCTTGTATTATTCCTTGACTTTGATTTGTTAATGAACTCTTGTTAATCTTATGTCCTCCCCCATGTCTGTTTCCTTTCCAGGCATACTTACCCATGACCTTCTGGATCACCTTGTTGGATGCCTTTTATCAAAGTCTGATCTGCTTCTTTGTGCCTTACTATGTGAGTCCATTTTCACTCATATTTTATATTAATCATGCAGTGATGCTCATTTGTACTTCGCCACCAGTATCAACATGTAGAAGGGTAGATTACTCATATAATCAGGTGATTTATTAACTGACTAAATCATAAGATCCTCCAAAAATAGGTCAATTAATGGATTATATCTGGTGATAAGTACCTGGTTGGGTCTTGAGTCCCTCTTTAGCCCTGTACTGTGTGATCATTTTTGTCATGTTGTTGTTGTTGTTAGGTGTAATTGAGTCAGTACCAATTCATAGAGACCCTATACACAACAGAAGGAAACACTGCCCGATCCTGGGCCAACTTTGCAATCATTGCTACACTTGAGCCCATTATTGCTGCCACTGTGCCAATCCATCTTGTTGGGGGTCTTCCTCTTTTTCTCTGATCCTTCACTTTACCAAACATGATATCCTTCTCTAGTGACTGGTCTCTTCTAACAACATGTCCAAAGAATTAAAGGCAAAGTAGGGCCATTTTGGCTCCCAAGGAGCACCCTGGCTGTACTTCTTCCAACACAGATCTATTGGTTCTTTTTGCAATCTGTGGTACTTTCAATATTCTCCTCCAATGCCATAACTCAAATGCATCCATGCTTCTACGGTCGTCCTTATTCACTATCCAACTTTTGCATGCATATGAGGTTATATGGGTAGATACAGGTGTGTACATAGGTGAAACTAAATAGAAGTATCTATGGTGTTGCTGATGCTGTTAAATGCCTTTGAGTTGGCTCCAACTCCTTTATAGGGTTTCCAAGGAGTGGCTGGTGGGTTTGAACCATCAACCTTAGAGTTAGCAGTCCAGTGCTTTTCCTACAGTGTCACACCAATACAACTATGTGGATACAGGCACATACACCAATCAGACACAAATATGGATATCCCACAGATATAACCAAACATCTTCCTAGATAGATTTTCTGGCTTTCAAAGCCTAAGGTTAGAGTCTCATGGGACAACTTAATCAATTGTCAAACATAGTTTACCAAAACCATGATTTTCACCTTAATGAAGTGTGTAACATCAGGGATCCTAAATGCTTGTTAGTGACCATCTAAGACACAACTATGGGTCTCTACTCGCTGGCAATGAAACAATAAGGAAGTAACCAAAAGCTTAGAGGAGAAATAAATATATATGAGCCACAATCTTGTCTACCCTGAGAACAGATGAATTAGATGGTGCCTCGTTAACACAAGTGACCATTTTGATCACAATAGATGGTCTTGAATAAAATAAAAGAAAAATGTGGACCAGAACTCAAATTTTTATTTTTTAAAAAGCCAAAATGGAACAATAGAGAATCAAGGTTTTACTGAGGATACCATGCTAAGACACTCTTCAAACACAGAATTGAGTCTATTCCCTGAGATCACCTGTTAGTAAAAGAGCACAGTGTCACACAAATTAAGGGTATTATCTATAAGATTGATGCTGTACTTAAAAACCATCAGTATGAGGCCAAAAGGTCAACAATTACTCAAAAGCAAAGATGAGAAGAGAATGGGACAGGGCAGCTAGAGTACTGGAAATGAAACAAACAGAGCACAAAAAGAATGTTGCATATTGAGAGAAATGTAACAAATGTCATTGAACAATTTATGTGGAAATTGTCACTTAGCAACTGTCATGGATTAAATTATGTCTCCCCCAAATATGTATCAGCTTGATGGGAACATGATTCTCAGTGGTTTGGCAGTTATATAATGACGTAATTATGTGGCAGTTATGGGTAATCCACCATGATGTGATCTGATGAGATAAACAAGAGTAGACTGCGATACCAGAATATTGACTATCGAATTATGATGAATAGCACCAGAATATTGTCAGATATAGTGCCAGAAAGGGAGCCCTTCAGGTTGGAAAGCACTCAAAATATGACTGGAGAAGAGCTGCCTCCTCAAAGTAGAGATGACCGTGATGACACAAACGGAAGAAAGCTTTCAGGACCTTCATTTGCTGATGAGGTACGACTCAAAATGAGAAGAAACAGTTGTAAACATCCATTAATAATGGGAAACATGAAATGTACTAAGTATGAATCTAGAAAATTAAAAGTTGTCAAAGATTAAATGGAATGCATAAAGTTCAATACTCTAGACATTGGCAGTGATGGTTGTGTGCCGTCGAGTTGATTCTGACTCACAGCGACCTTGTATGTATGTACCAAGGCTGTACATAGACCAATCTGTATTATAAGCAAATAATTTGAGAAGTTGAATTATATAAAGAAGAACATTGGCACCAGGATTGGAGTAAGACTCATTAACAACGTACGATATGCAGATGATACAACCTTGCTTCTGAAAGCCAAGAGGACTTAGAATCCTTACTGATGAAGATCAAAGACCACAGATTTCAATATAGGTTGCACCTCAATTTAAAGAAACAAAAATCCTCACCACTGGCTGAATAAATAACATCAAGCTAAATGAAGAAAAAGTTGTCAAAGATTTCATTTTGCTCAGATCAACCATCAACACTCATGGATGCAGCAGTCAAGAAATCCAATGACGTTATTGCACTTGGTAAATCTACTGTACAAGATGGAATACACAGATCAAATAGACTACATGCTTTTGAGCTATGGTGTTGGAGGAGAATATTAAAGGTACCATGGGCTGCCAGAAGAATAAACAAATCTGTGTTGGAAGAAATACAGTCAGAACGTTCCTTAGCAGCCAGGATTACAACACTTCATCTCTCATATTTCCGACATATTATAAGGAGAGCCCCATCCTTGGAGAAGGACATCATACGTGGTAAAGTGGAGGGTCAGGTAAATAGAGGAAGACCCCCAAGATGTGTTGTCACAGTGGCAGAAGCAATGAGCTCAAGCATAGCAGTGATTGTGAGGTTGGTGCAGGACTGAACTATATTTTGTTATGTTGTACATAAGATCGCTGTTTGTTGGAACCGACTCTATAGCACCTAATAACAACAGCAATACTCTTAATCCCATCACTGATCTGGTGCAAGGAATACCCTAGGGTGAGGTCTGTAACACCTTTTATTTTACATGGTGGTGGTAGTGGTTATGTGTTGTGGAGTCAGTTCCAACTCACAGCGATCCTGCATAGGGTTTCCAAGGCTGTAAATTTTTATGGAAGCACAAAGCCTCATCTTTCTCCCATGGAACTTCTGGTACTTTCAAACTGCTGACCTTGACATTAGCAGCCTAACTTGTTATCACTACACTACCAGATCATCAGCCAAAACAAGGCCAGGGGCAGATACTAGAACACAGCACTAACTGCTCATATGCAAGCTCAGGGTGAATCTGAAGGAAATTAAAACAAGTCCATGAGCTGAAATATCTATCAAGTAAGAAGAGCTGGGAGTTGAGTGTATCTTTTGAATTTGGGGTCCCTGCATTATGAAGCTTCTAGATCCAGGGAAAGACTGATGTCAGTATACATGGTGAGTTCCAAGGAACACTGGCCCTATAGATGCTGAAAGGAGATAAGGACCTTTTTTTCAAAAGCAACACTCAACATTCAGACTTCTAAGCTCCTAAACTGTGAGAAAATAAATTCTTGTTTGATAATGCCATCACTTCCATTATTTCTGTTATCACAGAGCCAGATAGTCTTAGCTAACTTGCAGTGTAAACTTTCATCAAAAACTCAATAAAATATTATTTAACAAAATAAATGAGGTCCTTAAAGACCTAAATGTAAAACCTAAAATTATAAAGATCATCAGTGAAAAACTAGGGACAAACTTTGTTGTTGTTGTAGTCAGGTGCCATCGAGTTAGAACCCACTCATAGCGACCCCATGCACAGC